TCGCTCTAGTATTTTGCCAGAAACAGAAAAAAGGTTCGATTATTTTCGATTTCGAATAATCGAAGGTTCGAATATTTTCGATTTCGAATAATCGAAGGTCGATTATGTTCGATTTCGAATAATCGAATTTCGATTATTCGAATTTTAATCGAAATCGGTGCATGCCTATTCTGAACCTAAAAGCACGCAGTAAAGCGCTTTCAAAAGTCACGTGCCATGATTTTGTAGAACTGGCAGCTCTGTGATCGAGATCTGCAAGGTGATGTCTGATTATGTCGAGTTTGGGCCAATATGCTTTTCAGCACAGATTTCTGAAAAGCACATTGATCTTGAATTCTTATGCATGTTTTGTCTAGCTAAAGCAACATCTTTATATCTGTTAATGCTTTTCAGATCTTCTCCTTCACATATTCATGAACAGGTGGTGTTATGCTATACTCTCTTACTATTGACTGACTACCGAAAAAAGAATGTAGTTCTCATCATTACTGACATGCCCATCAATCAACTCGTAAAATATTTTCTTATAAACAGGAAAATGTTTAACAATAAAAATGTCTCTTTTCAAAGATAACATAGAAGAGAAACTAAAGAAGACATTTTTTACTGTTCATCAACGACTATCCATTTATGCAATGACTTTACTGTGGGATAGTTACACGTTAATCAAAGATTTTGTTAGATCAGGTTCCGGTTACATTTTCTCACTCAGTGCAGATCTCTACTTTGTGGTATATGAAACAAAACTTCTTCGTTTGGAGCTCAGGTGGGAAGTATGAGAAAGTTGTTTTGAAACAAAAAACGAATGTTTCCATCGTTTTGTATTTCTTTTTTAAATTGGCAAGACTTTTTCACATGAATCTTTGCTCTTCAAAAATCGGTAGATCATTAATAAAATTTTGAAGAGCATTTATTAACTACAAAATTGAAGTTAAGGAGATAAAACTGGCAGACGATTTTTAAAAATCATTCAATATTCGCAGTGAATGTGAAATCTTAATAACACTCACGTGCCTAAGTTATTTTTTGACACTCTATCTCATTGTGCACTTAACATATATTTTTAAAAGATAATAAAGTCGAGATTTTATGCTTTTAGAAATTGAGTCATTGTAAAGACTATATTTACATATTACACGCCTCTTAGTTTGTTCAGAGATGTTTGTCACCATAAACTAAGTAAGCTTTCACAAAATTATAAAGACATTATCGCACACTAGTATAGTGGCTGCAGTTTAGACATATGCACGGGTACCGTTTTCGTACCTGTATCTGACCCAATCTAAGAAATTTGTACACGTATGTCAAGTTATTATTACGGTCTCAAGAAAACCTGATGCATTTTAGCTAAAATCTTGTATATTTCCATTAAAATTTTGTGGTTTCTACTAAAACCTTCCGGTTTTCGGATAAATTAAAACAAAAACAGAACCCGTATCCGTAAACGCTCTACTCGTACCCAGCCTTTGGGTCGGATCGTGTACGGGTTGCACATCTCTAATTCAGTCAGGTAGAAAAATCGAAAACGGAACAGGATGGTTCCTAAGTTATGGTTTCGTCAAGGTTCCACTTAATTGTTCTAAATATTCTATAATAAGATTGTAGTTAGATCTTTTCTGCAAGAATAAATCTATTTGCGAAAGAAAATCTGTCTCTAGAAGCAGCAAAAAGTATAAAACTTTAGGATAGAAGAAGAACGAAGTAATATTTGGTTTCAAGGATCAAAAGATCAAACAAAACACTTACCTCATTACGAATTACCTTGGTAGAAGAATTTTTGTATGGTATCCAATGCTTCGGTGACTTGAAAAAGAGAGCTCGTATCGATTCATCAATAGCCTCGTCCGAGTATTTTTTTTTCCAATTTGCACAGAAATCCATGTCCGCATTCGACAGTACCAATGCCACATTTAAATAAATCAGTAATATGCAGCTGTGCTCAAAATGTGGGGATATATTTTGCTAGTAGAAAACGTTCGCTTACCAGTCAATGTAAAATATAAAAGTATATCGAGATAGAGCACATGATGACAAAGCTACACTTCTGAAATTTTCTTTTAAGAAATGTTAAGTTATATTTTCGTTTTCTTTTGACATTTGTATATCAAAATGCAGAAAAGTTCAAAAAGCGAGAATTAGAATATTTAATATCAAATTTGTTGGCAAAATGTTTTAAATTTTTTATGGCATTATCCGCAGAATCACGTTTTACATTGACAGAACCAGCTGAAACGACTACATTTGTTGAGGATCCAGCATCTGTGACAGTTCCACTTGTAATAATTAATTGTGTCAGACTAGTTAAAGCTGTTCCTTTTTACTTAGATGATGACCAGAACTCTGACTGCGCTCGAGAACAAGACTGAAGAACAGAAGCTGAGGTTATAAGTTACGATACTTGAAACGGTTGAGCGTTTGTTGTAGTATAACAAGATTATGACGGATGTAAACTCGGTTTAGAAAGTTGTTCGTCGCTATTTTGAAGTTGAGAAGATGTCGAGTGTGTTACCGGAAATGCGCAATTTTCAATAAGACGTGTGAGTCGCTGACTAGTATCGCAAATAATTTTAAACACTTGTTCTGCTCAAGAAGAATCGCGAAGTTTGGAGTTGAAGAGTGACTGTCGGAATTGTGATCATCCCGACTCAATCATTTGAATCATCTCGTGGAAATCCAAAACGCTGTTGTAAATGATTAATAATTACGGTTAATTGTGGTAAAATGTTAAATCCTCAAGTTTGTTCGAGAAATGACGGTGTTCAACCCATGGCTTCACTCGTAAGATCGATAAGTTGAGAAGAAGTTTATGGACGAAAATAAAATTGATAGTATATTCAAAATAACAGGCATTATCTATTGAATCATAAAATAAAACACAACCTGTTGTTCTGAATATACTATCAATTTTACTTTCGTAGCAGATGTATTTGGATGTTTTTTCTACGTAAAACGGGAATAAACAAGCCTTTTCAAATAATTTAGATCTGTTTAATCAGGTGGAAGCCATCGGGATTTATAGAATGGCTTATTTCAAGAATCGTTTCGCCAAAACATTTTTGACTTTTTATCGAAACCAGTTCGCGATCCAAATTTGTTTTAAAATAGAACTTGCACGAATGTTTATCGTTTTCCTAATAGATCAGAATCGCAGGAAAATTGACAGTTCATTTAAAAAATTCATTCTGCACTATCAACTTATAGTTGCACACCATAAATAACATGTTGGAGCAAAAAGAAGAGGTTTATTATGGAAATGAGCCATTTTTCAACAGTCATGCTTAACGAGGAAACCTTTTCAGCTGTCAAACTCCGATTTAAACGAAATTTTGTCTGTGTATAGTATGTGGTGTGGTAGTTAAAACCCTAAAAGAATTTGGACTGTTACAACTTTTCCCAAAAGTTATAGACATTTTCTCCCGTGTAAGCAAGGAAGAACTAAAAAGTTCACCCAAACCAGGTACGAAAAGTGGACAACGTTTCCACTAGTAGGACTTTAAGGTCTATTATAACCATAGAAAGTTTTCAGGCATCTAACTCTATTACTTGCTCACTTATTAAATTTAGGAAAACTATATGCGTTTACGAAAAGTGATAGAAATTGTACGTTAAGTTTTTTTTAAAAAATAAAATTTTGATTTCGTGGGATTATTGGCCGTTCTAAATGGCTTATACAGATTTATCAGAGAGAGCGTTATCTCTCCCCGCCGCGTAGAGGTCTCTCAACGAAGAAGGGTTTTTCTTTTTTTTGCTGTTGTGGATTTTTTTTTAAAACCAACAAACCTAAGGTATAACAACTGTTTCAAACATAAGATAAGAAGCAACTACAAAAGAGAGCAAAATGAAGAACGATAAAGTTAGATAAAAGGATAAAGAGATAGATCTTCATCAGTACTGTATAGCTTGTTTGCTGATGACTTGTATTTGATCTGTACATTCGAGAAACAGGATAGTTTGAATACGGTCAAGCAATTTGTTCAAACTGAGGTGGATCCAGTTACTAACTGATGTGGTTGCAATTTAATGTCTTTGAGTAAGTGTCATTGGACGTATTTCTCTTTATCTGCTAACCCTTCGACTTATCTTACACGACAAAAAGAAAAGGTCCAAAAAAGCGCCCACTAGAAAACGTCCACGAGAAGTATACTAAAAAAAGCATCGACAAAAATGAGTCCACAAAAATTCGTCCAAGCATAGTATTTAAGTTGGGTTGGATGACTCGTTTCACTGCACTAACTTATCTCAGAAACGACTGATTTCCTGCGATAGTGGATCGAACCAGCAGATCAGGCACGTTTTCCAAAGTATAGTGCGTTCAAAACTGAGTAAAATATTATCTGAAAATCTTTTCAAATTTTGTTTTTCCATCTAACAAAAAAAACATACGAGAAAACGAGTCCACAAAAAGAACCGTCTAGCAAAAAAGCATACCGAGATGGGACGAAAAAACCGTTTACTAAAAAGCGTCAACTTTTCGACGCTTTTTTTTTACCATGCAGCTTTTTCATCAAATTTAGTTTCGAAGAACCGGATTTATTCAATTAAGCAGGAGTGGGAACAATGACATATCTTCCTCTAGCTTTAATCAAAAAGTTTTGAAACACTGTCAGAAAACCGTTTTTCTCTTCGAAGTACTGAGCTAAACAACGGTAACCATTTCAATATAACGCGTAAAAGGTGATCGTCTCATAGAATGCAAAGCAAAATGAGCTTTTTTGTCTAAAAGGTATCCTTGATTGGCCGACCGAGATAAAGTTCAAGCTCAGTGTATAGAGTTCAATATTAACGTCTGCCTTTAGAATGTGTAAATGTTGAAGTCACAGTTTGTTTTTCTAACCACGCAGCTTGTTTACATAGAAGCAACTTTTTCCAAATGTTTTTTCGCTTATCGGATTATTAATTTGTCTATAGATTTGAAAAACTGTTTTCAAAAATGTTTATCTGAAATTTCAAAATTTTTTGGTTTTGAAAGTAGAACAAAGAAAAGGTTTTTGATAGCGAATACAACGAGATTTATTACGGAGGTGTGGCTGATCCAAGAACAAAAAAATAGTACAGCAAAGTAGAAACAAAATATTGAAACGGTTTCAGTAAAATAGATAATTCATTACTTTTATATTTTAAAGTCGTTTGTACAAAATTGATGAAGCAAAAAGAAATTAATTGTCGTGGTTAAAGTAAAAACCACTTCTATCTTTAACTTCGGGAAAAAATCTTTTCTTCGCCAGACAGTTTGAAAAGCACAAGAAAAAATAATGTTTATTATTGTTTTGTAGACAACTCCTAATGTCTAGTATTTCCAAAAAGAACCTTTTTTTGGACACTAATACTAAAAATCGTTAGAGTCACTATTAAAGAAGTTTTTGTCGATGACTCGTTTTACCCAAAGAGAAAGCTTCTGGTATGAGGAATACACAGACACTTTTAATTCCACTTTACGTGCTAATAATTGCTTTAGGTATATTATGGTAACCGTTTAACGATCAACAAGAGCGTTGAGCCTCTTTCGTATGAACCAGCTGATAAAAAAATTGTTTCTCAAATTACCAATCAAATTGTCGTAGATCATATCGTTAATGCAATGGGTGCAAGCAGTCAAGGTCTTATATGCGATACTCATTTGGCAATTGCTGTACATAATGATAATCATCTTCATACAATGGCACCCGAATGCAAAGAACTGGCGGAAAAATTTGCTCGAGCAATAGATTCAACAAAAACTGGCGAAGAAGTATCGATAGAGAGTGTTAAAGCCTTACGTCGAAAATGGTGTGGTTCATTACCATCGTTCATGATGAAATTTGATTTGCCAACTTACGAATGCAAAAGTATTCTTGAAACTTTGTTTCAAAAAGCGAAGACAATCTGGTTAGAAAGTAGGGATCAGAATATTAGTTATCAACCCTATCGTCCAACTTCTATATTAGCATCGAATATAAGAACAAGACGTCATGATGATCAAGAATTCAAGAAATGGCTCGCTAATAATAAAGACCTTTTCTCATCATCAACACTCGACGACAACTCCTCATCTCCATCCCAAACCATAGAAAATAAACTAGAAAATTCAGCGCTAAAAAATGCAGATTCAACTACTGTTGATAAAAATACAGTTTCGAAAAAACGAACTGCAAAGAAAAATATTTCTGCTACAACAAGCTCTCCAGAACCAACAGACAATATTGAAACATCATCCGAAACTATGTACAGGAAAGAAATACCAGGAATGTTAAAAAAACCCGATTCAGCTACTACTGATAGCTCTTCGAGAAAGCAGATGGCTAGAAAAAGTGTTCCGTCAACGACGAACGCTCAAGAATCAATGGTCCTATCTTCTGGTGTTAACAGCGCAACAACGAATCGTAACAATGAACCGTTGATCAATTCATCTTGCGTAGAACGAAAACCAACAGCATCGTCATCATCATTTTCCTGTACTCCATGTGCGATCTCTTATCATGAAGATTTTGTAATCACTGGAATGAAAGCAGTTACTAGTAAAGTTAAATTTACTTTAGGAATTTCCAATAAAGAAGTACCATTTTACTCAGTTGATCTTAATGGCGATCCATCTGTCGATAGTAGTCCAGTCGATAAAATTTTTACTAACATACTAAAACAAGATCAATTTAGCAGAAAATTAAGCAGCACAACAGCTGATCAAATTCATTATGACAAACAAACTCATGGTCCATTAAGTTTACGTGTAACTTATGGATCTATTTATTTTAAATTAGATGATCAACAGCAACAACCGAAAAAAATTGGCGAAATCAATCAGTGTATAAATAATAAACAAAATAGGCTTGAAACTTATTTTATACCTGAAAGTAGAAACACACTTTCTGCACAAAGAGTAAGAAAGTCACACTGTACCGCCAGTATTTCTTTCTAATATTATTTATATATTTTTTATCTTTTTAGCCACTCGATGACGATCCCGAGTCAACGTATACTTACATTCTAGAATGTAAATCAGAATCTTCACCATCCGGTTTATTAGCATTAACATTTGACTTCAAAAAGACACTGAAATCATTTTTGATTATTTATCTGTGGTCAAAATCATACGCAAGACGATCAAATGGTAAGCCAGATCAAATTTATGAAATTATATCGACAATTGAATATGATAAACAATCATCCATGTTTAGTGAACTTGTAAAAAACGTCTTTGTTGATGAAATTAAAGTCGAAAAACTCCTGACGGGTAAATCTCCTCTATTGAAGCCTATTGGAAAAATGTTGAAAGTCAGTGTTCAACTATTATCGTTAAAAAGATTAAAACGACTATTGGCTAATGATCTCCCTCAATGGACTTTGGACACGGATGTAGAAAATTGTTACTTCAATGCGTGTACACATATATATTCTTTGGACAACGACGAAGATGAAAAAATTAAAACATTGGAAACACTAGAATTTTTAGCCTATCCAATAACATTCGCAAACAAAACTAAATTAAAAAAATTATTTGAGATTGGTGAGCAGTTTTTAGAAGGAAATAAATAAATCATATATGTGAAGAATAAAATCATTGTTGCTACTGCCGTCGAATCATGATAATCCAAAAATCATATGTCATTTAAAAAAAAACGTTTTCTTACATAATTATGACTTCTCGTCAACTAAGTTGTGCTACTTACCATTACCAATTTGTTCTTTCTTTAGTATTAATCAGAAAGATATGCTATAGTAGTACGCTTCAACGGTTTCGTTAGTGAACTTTGATTACCTAATGAACAGGGACTTTTACTTTTGTGAAAGTTATGAAAGATAGTTTTTATAGTGGCTAAAATTCCATATTCAAACAATCTGAAAAAGCATGCCTCGACTGGAAATCGCATCCCGGGCAGCGTTTATCCAGATCAATGCTTTACCTATAAGCAATCGGAACGCAGTCTTTGACGCACTTTTTATTCAAAACTGCGTGTACGAATGAATTGCGCTGCCATTGTACGATTGAACAAAAAACATTTCGAGAAAAAAGTTTTAACCGAAGATAAAGCCGGTCGTGCATTCGATAGAGCGCTATCGATTACGTATTAATACAGTATTTTCCCGACTGCCACTACTTTACTTCTCTAGATAGTGAACTTTTTCGAAATACTCGAAATTTCTCTGCCTGATACGGAAGTAGGATAAACGAAGGGCAAAGTACCTGAGTCATATACCAATTGATAGAGCTTGAAAAAGAGAAACAATAGAGGTGCATCCAGACCTCCCGACATTATAAACATCTAAAACTTAACAAAAAAAATGTTTCGCGCGTACAAACACGAACATAGCATAAAAAACTCTTAGAGTCTTTATTTTCTCGTATTTTCCAGCCCATAATGAGCCGAAAACCGTTTCGAAGACTTATAACATACACCAGTAAACAGGTCTTTCGAAGACGAATCGAATTGTGTATAATAAGTTATGTTTATGTCTGTTTTTTTCCAGTGATTCACTCATTTTAATTAACCGTTGCTTTTTTTGCTAAAAACCTCTCACGTTACTTTTTGCCAGTAAAACGCGATTTTCACTCAAACCGTCAAAGTTTTCAAGGTAAACTTTTTATCACATATTCAGGGTAACACCATGAAAAAAGGATAAAAAGCTAAGGGTAAAGATTCAGTAACTTGGAAGATATAACAAAAACAATTTTCAAAATCTCGCGTAACATTTAGCAGAAAAAGCGCAGTTAGCAAGAGCAATTTAATCTTTTTTATGCCAAAAATGGAAGCAAATAAACTTTTCTTTTTTATTGCAATGTAGCATTATCTGTCGGCTATCTTTTGAGTTTTTTTTTGGGCCATTCAATCTCGCGTTACGAAAAAACGCCAGTCTGTGTGTATACTGTTAATTTGCAAATAGAAGTGTAAGGTACCAGAATGGTATAAATTAGTATTCATTGGCATGATTAATTATAAATTATTATCTTAAAAAAACTTTTTTAGAGTTTCTCAGTCGGACTATAACGACAAACCATTGGCTATCAAGCAACGCATGAATGACTTTTCTGGGATTATTTTTGACTGAGCTACAAATTTTTTAAAATGAGGACTAGAACTTTAGATTTTAATTAAAGTTTAAATTTAATTAATTAATAACTCTGTGAATAGTTATCAAATTATCTAGAAAACTGAAAGAATCAGGTGTCTTCCATAAACTGGCATAGTTTGAGGACACATATAGATGGTGTGAACCTCCCCTTCCTTAATGCTTTAATGTTTTATATTTGCAAATAGTTTTTATTGTTGTTATTGTACCATCAACTGTAATTTTAATTATAAAAATAACGGACTGTGGATCATCATAAATTGAACGAGTCAGATCTGCATGGGCATGCAAGCTCGAGATTAAATGTTGTGAATATAATTAGAGGTGGCACTTCCTCTTTCCTACCTCCTTTTTTTATTAACAAAAGAAAAGTTTTTCTTTTTCTTTTACACCTTCTTTTATATATTCTTTATCTTCTTTTTTTGTACCTTTTAAGAAAGTCATTTTTTTTGCAAAAAGAAAAGATATCGCTTTTCTTTCTTTTGGAAAAGAAAACGTGGCACTTTCCTTTTTCTTAGGAAAGAAAAAGATATCGATTATATCTTTACTCTTTACGTTTGAAATAAAAGATACCACATTATCGTTACTCAAGGAATGAACCGGAAAAGTGCCACCCCTAAATATACTGCTATTAATTACCACAAAGTAAGAAAAAGCTGCTCGTGGTATCGAGGGTAAAAAATGAAATTATGATAAAATATATTTGTCTCTAACATATTCAATGAATTCATATGTACAGTACTTAATTTTTATTCAGACGAGGTCTTTGCAGAAAAAAACTTAATAAATCTAGAATAATAGAAATCTTTCTATAATATACCAGTTACTGTAATAAAAGATAAGAAACTGGTAGGTTCTTTTTTTGTCAATATCAGATACTTTACGTGGTTATATTACTGTCCAATTCTCATGTATACTACTCAGAATACATGAAACCTTTCTTCACGTACACTCCATTACAGTCTTTACAGTCATATCGATAAACCACTTTGTTCATATCTTTCTCTGTACGAAATTTCTTACTGAATAAGGTTGAAATACGTGTCTCGGCAGCAAATACAAATACAATTTCTTTCATTGGATTTTCGAGAATTTTCTTTGTCTTTTTGGCTGGGATCACAGAGCATTGACCATAAAATGACATAGATACGAAGACTTTTTTCTTTGCTGACTTCATAGGTTGTTTTGTAATAATCGTTCCTAGTCTAACTCCTCTAATCGTTTTTTTGATCACTTTGAGTGGATAACCGTTAGCTGTGACTATTTTCTCATAGTAATCTAATTGCTGCTTCAACAGAGCTTCTGATGAACAAATACGCTTGGCTCTAATACAAAAACATTTAATTAAATTAATTTTGTAAGTTCTAGGCTCATTGCTGGTCCATTTCAGATAGAGGCCTGTATCAGTTGGTTTACGATAAACATAAGTAATCAACTCTGAATCGGTTCGCTCTACCATGACATCAAGAAAAGGAAGTTTGTTTTTATCTTGCACTTCAATTGTGAATTTTATCGAGAGCTCTAATTTATTCATAAATTTTTTAAATGAGTAGAGGTCTTTCTGAGTTCCGTACATGATCAAAAGAATATCGTCCACGTAACGGTAATACAGATCAGGTTTTGTACCACGATAGACTCTTTGGTCATTCAATAATTCTTGAGCTTTTGATAAATAATCATCTTTGTTTAACACCACAATCGCGTTCCCTTTATCCACTTTCGATATTACTAAATTAGAATCTTTAGATAAAGTAGTAATAGCTTTAGTTTCTTCTTTGAAAAGATTGCTAATCTCATGTTTCAGTATTTTCCCAGTGTTCAAACCAAAGTCATTCAAGAGTCCTTTGATTTTAGTAGCTGTACCAGGACCTTTCAATAAACCATAATGTTCAAGACATATATTGATTGTACATAT